AACCTAATAAGTTACAATTAAGGCGTATTGAATGTTAAAATGCGTTTTAAACATAAAGTGCTTATCATTACCCATTTTACTCGTAGTAATTTAATAATTTAATAAATTTCATAATTTAAAAGTTTAGTTCAGAAGTATCGAATCGGTATCGACGATACTGCCTTGAAAAATATCGGTATCGTATCGAAAACAAAATAAGTGGTATCGCCCATCCCTAGTGCCTGCACTTCCAGGTCAAGAAACTGTCAATCAAAAACTCAGTAGCCAATGAGAACACACCGCTGCTAGCCCCGCCCCCATGAGAGATTTGTGCCAGAACGGCGAACGAAAACTTCAGAAGCGTAAATGAAAACTATGCGCATTTGTAAGTACAGATCAGCGAAAGAAAAAGGAGAAAACAGTTAGCAACACATACAGCGTATTAAAAACGAAGTCAAAGATTTTGCCTGTGATTTATTTTTTCTGTTTCAAAGACATTTTATTCAGTTTCAATTTATACTTTCATAAGATTCTTGAAAAATTACATACATTTTTATTGGCATAGAAGTAATTCCATAGTTCAGCTAGCTTCATGCAATAGGCCACAGGGGTAATCAAAATGTTGGTATGGTAATGGTAAATTGATTGATAAATGAAAGGTTTGCATGTGATTTTCAGACAGCATCGCTTGCCGCAGGCTGCTCTTTGACTGTGTGCATGCTGCACGCTGGGATCTTGTTTGGCTGGAGAGTTTTACTGTAGTGGGAATGCCAGTCTCGTTCAAAGACAGCTTTCATCCGTTCAACTACAGTCGAGTTGTTCTGCTCCACCTGCTGACTGATCACCATCCCAACACCGGCGTTGTAGACAAACTCGTTGCCCACCCAGTTTAAATTCCCTGAGAGTCCAGAAACATGGTTTTAGGAGAAATTATTCAAACGTGTTTTATTTCCCCCCTCAATTCAATTCAAATCTCAATTCACTAAATATGACATCAGCAGCTTAATGAATGCAGAGGATGTTCTTACCTAGATACACAGATGTGTCTGTCACCATGTATCTGTTGTGATTGACTCCATAGAGATATCCATTGCTCTGCATCTGAGGAATGAAGAACTTCTACAAGAAGAAGAACAGAATACATATGTTATCAGTTTCGGTACATGCACTCAGTACGAGTAACAGTAGTACAGCCATAGAGGCCATTTATAGCAAATGAAACAAAAGCTGATCATTCAAAATTGATCCATGTCTTAGATTACTTGATGTATCTGGCCATGAACACAAATGAAAAACGGACTGTAGCAAATCATACTGCTGGTACATCTGTTCAAATAAACCTCCTTTGACTTGCAGCACTTATCTTGTCTTAAATCAAGCTGTAAGCAGTGGTCAGTCCCTCTGAATCATCCCAGTGACTTAATTTGATTCTAAAAAGATGCATTCAGATTCATTCAGTAATTCGACTCTTTCTCGAGGCCAGTGGTCGTTAGCTCTGATCCGCACAGCTGCTCATTTAGCTGATGCTATCTGTGTCCTAACGGTATCACATTTTCATATCACAATAAATGCAGAAGCTATTATGGTACACACTTGAACAGAAAAGCAAGCTTCAGTGCTGCCCTTTAAATAAAAAGTTTAATAGCATCCAAATAACAGCATTAAAAGCACAGTCATGATACAATCATTTAAAGGGGACCTATTATGCCACTTTTTAAAAAGATGTAATGTAAGTCCCAGGTGGAATGTGTGTGGGGGGCTATGGATTTTTACCACAGTTGGGTGGTTGTGATACATAATTGTATTCAAAAACAATATTTATTTTGTATAATAGATCCCCTTCAAATTCAACTCGTCGAATCTATCTAAATATATTTTCAAGGCTAGCATGTTTTAGCCCAGATTATGTGAACAAATAAAGTGACCCTGAACCACAAAACCAGTCAAAAGGGTCAGTTTTGCTGAATACATAATCTTATCATTGATGTATGGTTTGTTAGGATCGGACAATATTTGAAAATCTGGAATCTGAGGGTGCAAAAAAATCTAAATATTGAGAAAATCATCTTTAAAGTTGTTCAAATGAAGTTCTTAGCAATGCATATTACTAATCAAAAAATAAGTTTTGATATATTTACGGTAGGAAATGTACAAACTATCTTCATGGAGCATGATCTTTACTTAATATCCTAATGATTTTTGGCATAAAAGAGAAATCTATAATTCTGACCCATACAATGTATTGTTGGCTATTGCTACAAATATCCCCCAGCGACTTAACACTGCTTTTGTGCTGCAGGGTCACATGTTAGTTGGACAGTTTTCATTCACACTGTTATACAAATACAAGGTGTCAGTTATGCAGCATTCCCTCTCCCCCTTTCCTTCAGCTGCTCCTGTAAGGGGTCACCACACTGGAGTTATTGCCATTTGTGTAAGTGTGCATGCACGAGTGATCTGGCTCAGCGTGTGATGGGCGATTGGTGTGGGAGCGGAGTCAAGAGTAGTGAACATGGTAACAAGCCTTATTTATGTGTGCCGTGTAGATCTGTGTGCTGTTTCCAGTATATTGAACCTGAAAACTCACTGTGTGCAGATGAATTGCATAATTATGTCTTTGGGAGGCTTTCAAACACATTAAATGCACAGATCCATGCTATTACTTATTTACATGTAATGTAGGGATGAGTAATTAAGTAATTATTAATCAATTAATAATAATTAATAATTAAGTAACACATTTGTTCACGGTTCTCTGGAGTTGGTTAATGGTCACATGTAAACAAAAAAACCTGCATATTTTTAGTAAGTGTTTTACTTGACTGTTGCTATTTTAAAATTACTTTAATTTTACATTTTTACGATTTAATTAATTATTAGCTTTTCATTAAACTCACAAACCCCCTGCAGTTTCTTCTTGAACCCCAGTTTGGGAGACCTTGATATAATGTAATGTTTAATGCACTTCATGCTGTTAATAACAACAAATTATATATACTGTATGTATATATATATATATATATATATATATATATATATATATATATATATAATATATCTTTGTATATTACTATGGTGCAAGATTTAAATCAATGTGATAAATGAGTCAGATTATATTACCTAAAATGTGTAATGTAATGGATTATGTTACTAACTACAATTTTTGTCAAATAATTTGGAATCTGTAATGGACTGCCTACTGTGTGCTGATACTAAAGTATGTTGTTCAGTGCACCACCTGGTGGATATTGTTATTATTTAAATTTTAAAAAGCATTCTGCTTATCCACAGGATGCACAAGTAGGAAGTAGTCAATCCTCCAGGTATTGCTCACATAATGTTTCATGAAAACTAAGTATTCTGACGTACTATTCTTCACATGCACAGTTTTTCCTAGTCTGTATTTTATGCAGGGGTGTGCTGTTTCGGACACAGCTATTGCTTGATTGTTTGCTAAATAAATCGGCATTTTTGAATGAATTGTTTGATTCAATGCAGACAGACACAGATTTAGTCCCAGTAGAAATCCCCGCACTGATGCACAGACTGACAGTCAGTCTCAAACAAACACAGACAAGCAGACTGATACAAACAATGGAAAGTCCCAGTGCTGTTGGTCTGTCACAACCAGATCAGATCAGATTTGAAGTTGGTTGTACAATTTTAAACAATTATTACAGGTGAATAACAGTGCAAGAACCTCAGCAACCTTTGAACATGTGAATCTTTGGTAATCGTTGATAAATGCACACTCACCACCTCCACTGAGCAGCTGACTGACTCTATGCATAGTGTTTTCAGAGACCACAGGAAGTTCTGCGTCAGTGGGTCAGTCTGCTCCCAACAGCTTATTAACAGGCGTACTTTGATGTTTGTTTTCAGAATCAAGGCTTCTCGGAGCATGCTGTCGATGCGTGACCAGTACCTGTTAAAGTACATAGAGTAAGCATCAGTAATGCACTATACTGCTACTACTAGGAACAGTGTTATAAATCAAGTTGTATGATAGTGAGTGGTCATTGGTTTGAGACTGTGTGTCTTTGTGATGTCGTCAGTCAGCTGACATTTACTGGTCAGGTGACTGGACTTGAATATAATTGTGTCCCGTCGGCGCCGATAGCCTTTGTGGGCAGTGCACCGACATATAGCGTTATTGCACTATGGGCGTCCCGAGTTCAAATCCCGACTCGAGGACCTTTCCCGATCCCGCCCCGCTCTCTCTCCCGCTTCGGTTTCTGTCTGCTCTACACTGTCCTATCATAATAAAGGCCAAAATACACCTTTAAAAAACTCAATAATAATAAGTGTGTCTGTCCCAAGTTCCCATGAGCCACTTTCAGATTAGCATGGTCCAGTTAGCCTATTGGTTGATGCTGTAACTACCCCATCTGGTGCAAATATCCTGGCCGTGCATTCTGATAGAATACATTTCTTGCAAGCATCATTTAAATCACTAATATTAATGGTAGATATTTTGATCATGTAACAGGACTCACTTGGGTTGGCTGCGGTTGAGCATTGGTAAATAGTTGGTTATGGAGATGTAGATAAATGTCTCGGCCTCTTGAATGACTCTGTTAATGGCTTCGAGGTCTTTCGTCCGTTTTTTGGGGCAGAAAACATCTGGAGAACTCTAGCACAACAAATGATAACATAAACAGTATAATTTAACATCCTGTGCACCCAATGTAGTCCGCTTTATCAGTCCCATGAAATAGCATTTCCAGTTTATTTGGATACAGTGAGGTCAGAAAAATCTCATGAAGACTATGATCAACATCACTGCTGCTGAAGCTTAAGGTTATTAAACCACCACCAAACATGCATTACATGAGACTTTATGCGGACACTGCCACTTTTATTCCCTGTGTGTCCAGCACATGACCATGAGAGCGGCATCTCTCTTTTGAAATATAACACATCTCACAGTAAGGCATTGATCAAGTGTGAAGCAGGCAGGCGACAACCGGAACCTTGACCGATCGCAGCTGTCATACGGTTCCAGAAGCTGCGGTCAATGATAAATGATTCTTGTTCATTTTCTGTGAGGATTTCATTGATTGAAAAGGATGTTAAAGGCAATGCAACCTTTAGTCAATGGAAACCTACATCTGTTAATCTATAATAGCAAATCTCTGCTATAAACAATGCTAAAAATGAACATAATTACTCATGCATTTCTAAGCCTGTCTCTCTCTGCTCTATTTATACTGTAATGTGCCTATAGTAATAAACATATTAAACTTCATTAGAGTAGGACAAATCAAATGAAGGATCCTCGTTCTGTACACCAGCACTTGTTTTCTGCTTCCACTATAATTCAGTTACATGAAAAAGCAAAACATCTCTAACTCAACTCACAGAAATGTATGCTTTTGCTTTAGTGTCATTCAGATGAAGTTGAAGGTTCTTGTCTCGGTTATACAGAGCGTTCAGTTTCTTGGACCAAATTGACGGCAAAAAGTCTTTATACTGCAGTTGCCGGTAGAGGTTGAATATCCTGTGCAGGTCCATCACCAGACATGTGCAGTTATAAATAATGATGCCAAACTCCTTCATCTGTGAAAATAACACATCACCAGACCAATGAATTAGTATTAAACATAATGAAGAACATGTCATATCACACAACTCCAACATAAAGATTAATAATCAAATTGGTAAAGCAACATGTAGTGGAGTGAACACAATAAACTTACTAGTTATTAACTCACTTTTAAAAAGAAGCATATTTATAAACTTGCATTTAAGAGTAGAGTTGTTCTTTACCGTAGACAGTGACCTCCAATCCATGCCAGCACTTCCTATGTACATGTGTTTCCTGTCCACCACCCAGAAGGAGGAGTTGATGTGCCCTTTAGTGAGGGCTGTCATGTTCAGGTAATGCACCTCCGCACCTGGATGGTCAACGAACAAAAAGTCAGTTATGAATCGCTGATAAATAAGTGGTTCTCAAATTGTTTAGACTAAGTGCTATCAAGTGCATGTGTTCAATTAATGGTTGGAATTTGGAGGTGATAAAAGTATGTCAAGTACACCAAATGTTTGCAATCAATTTCTTAGCTGTTTTCACTGCAGATTGTTGCACCATTATTTGTTTTAACTTTCTTGTTGAACTTGAATGAAAGATGTATGGTTGCATCCTGGTCTGTTATGGTAGCAACATTTACTGTGATTGGTTGCCTCGCACGTCTGTCAGAAGACCTCGTCAATATATCTATCTCTTAACGACACACAGTGTGTTAACACGTAGGGCCACCAGTGTTAAGCTGGTCGGCAGGGTAGCCCAGGCACACATGCGGTTCACACGGCTCTTTGGAGCAGCAACAGTGATAGATTGTCTTGGTCTTGGTGATAGATCTGCTTGTTTTGAGGGTGTTTTGTCCTAACCTGTCCTGTTTTCATTCTTTTTGTGTGTGTGGATATATGCATGTCAGCTGATGCAGCAGTTTATGTTCTTACACTCAGCAGCATGCATATATTGGGTTGTATTATCCATTTCTGTGTCTCCTGCTTTGTTGGGCGGTTATTTCATATATGTTATATGTGCAGCAGCAGTATTTCCTAAACTCCTTCATCTGTGAAAATAACACATCACCAGACCAATGAATTAGTATTAAACATAATGAAGAACATGTCATATCACACAACTCCAACATAAAGATTAATAATCAAATTGGTAAAGCAACATGTAGTGGAGTGAACACAATAAACTTACTAGTTATTAACTCACTTTTAAAAAGAAGCATATTTATAAACTTGCATTTAAGAGTAGAGTTGTTCTTTACCGTAGACAGTGACCTCCAATCCATGCCAGCACTTCCTATGTACATGTGTTTCCTGTCCACCACCCAGAAGGAGGAGTTGATGTGCCCTTTAGTGAGGGCTGTCATGTTCAGGTAATGCACCTCCGCACCTGGATGGTCAACGAACAAAAAGTCAGTTATGAATCGCTGATAAATAAGTGGTTCTCAAATTGTTTAGACTAAGTGCTATCAAGTGCATGTGTTCAATTAATGGTTGGAATTTGGAGGTGATAAAAGTATGTCAAGTACACCAAATGTTTGCAATCAATTTCTTAGCTGTTTTCACTGCAGATTGTTGCACCATTATTTGTTTTAACTTTCTTGTTGAACTTGAATGAAAGATGTATGGTTGCATCCTGGTCTGTTATGGTAGCAACGTCAGAAGACCTCGTCAATATATCTATTTCTTAACGACACACAGTGTGTTAACACGTAGGGCCACCAGTGTTAAGCTGGTCGGCAGGGTAGCCCTGGCACACATGCGGTTCACACGGCTCTTTGGAGCAGCAGCAGTATGTCTTGGTGATAGATCTGCTTGTACTCCATTATCCCCATTGTCTGTGGATGTATTGGCAGTAGCAAGTCTCTGTACTTGCTCTGCTGCAGTGAAGCAACTGTTTTGTAATGACTGGATTTTCTCCTGATTCCTTGAGTCCTGCAGGATTCCAGCAGTCTTCCTGACTCCCCTACTCCTCCTCCAAATTCCCCACTCATGTCCACTCCTATGTCCCATCTGGAGACCCTGGGGTTTACTGTCTCCTCTGAGCCATAATTAGCTATACCAATTCACTTCCATTTCTCACTACTTCTCCCAAGCCTCCAATAGTCCCAGTTTCCCTGCTTTGTCTCCTATCATTGCTCTCTAATCTTCTGTTCCTGAGTATCCAGTGGTCCTTCTTAGTTTTTCAGAAATCCTTCCAAAGCCTGTTGTCTTCAGCTATCTATCTGAGCAGATGAGGGCCAGGGAGAATCTAAGCCGTAGGACAAAGCTCAAGGAGGGTCTGCTGGGAACGTGGAGATGTGGATAAACCTGGGAGGGGACCTAAAAAGAGTAAGTACGTGTTTTCCCCCACTTTTGGGATGTCATTTTTATTTATTGCTCTATTAAAATTTATTGCAGGTTTACTTGGGTCACTGATTAGAGCAGGGGTGCCCAATGCTGTTCCTGGAGATCTACCCACCTGCAGACTTCAGGTTCATCTGTAATTATCAAGTGCTGCTGAAGAGATTATTTAGCTGGTTCAGGTGCGTTTAATCAAGGCCGGAGCTGATCTTTGCAGGACGGTAGATCTCCAGGAACAGGATTGGGCACCCCTGGATTAGAGTGTTCCCCACGAATCATGGAGTAACCTGTTATTAAAGTTGTCTAATTCCTGTGCCTATGCTACTTTTCACTTGGTCCAAACACAAAGATTCTTACAAGATGGTTTTGTTGGACAGTGGATGCTAACTAATATTATATAGGCTACTTACCATTCTGAGAGAGTGCCTTGAGCTCTGAGGAATTAGTTAGTTCACTGACCACCCTCAAACGGACTGACCGAGACTGCAGACGCATCAACTGATGGAGTAAGATCTGACCCTAAAGATGAGAAAAGAAAGTTACATTTAAATGTGGTCATATTGGGACGAAACTATAGCTCTCTTTAAAAGAAACTCTTCTAGACTTAATCAGCAGTTCTGTTGACACTCTGGTATGTTGAATGTTACCTGCTTGGCCTGGGGAGGTTTTGACTCGTACTCGGTAGAGTTCAGTGCCCACCATGGTGACACAATCTCAACAGATCGATGTGCTTGATCCAAAAGCTCACGGAGACCAGTGGCCAGTGAAACTGTGTCCTTATATGGAATGGACAGATCTTCTGGAATATTCTCCACAAGCACTACGCTGTAAACACAAGACAATCCATATTCAAGTGAAGGCAGGATTAACTGAGAGCGGATATTGCAAGGGTAATGATATAATGATAATATGATGATTAATATAGTATATATATATAATCATTTTCCCAGGTATGGAGATTTGCAACAATAAATGCTGTTGTTTGTCAGACGTTGATGCCAATATTTTAAAGATTCAGAGAATATGAATCACTGTGTAGCCAACGAGTTCGGTTAGGATGACGATTTTTCGGTAATACTAAGGCACACTGTGAGTATATATTAGCATTTTTTATTGTTTGCTTTTGGGATCTGAAGGAGCGTGTGTGTTCCCGGAAACGGTGACATGGGATACATCTGGATGGGGGTGCATAACTGATAAATTGCCTCTGTGTACAAAAATGTCATTGTGACACCTCTTAGATTTTACAGGAATAAAAAATTGCATACAGTTGTGTGTGTATGTATCATCCTGACAGTGATTCAGCACAAGAAATCTTTATCTGGCTGCAATAGACAGAATCAGATCACAAGATATGGAATACACAGATCAATAAGAGAAACAAAACACCTTGATGACAAGACACAGCAGACCTACAAACACAACAGAGAACAGCATATACTAATGGAAATAATGCAATAATAAGTACAATAAGAGAGTGAACAATGATTATGAATATACACATACATACAGAAATGTATGTATATTATGGTGGCTTGCCAGCATTGCTTTAAGCATGTGTCCTGGTCACGTGGGCTCATGAAGCGAAGAAATCAGTTGCACCCATTCCCTATGTGGCATAATCCGGAGGAGAGATCCTAGGTAAGGTGGAGCCCCTGTAAAGTGAACATGTTCTCCTAAATGATGCTAATGTCTCATTTTTCTATCATGTCTAAAGTCTGATTTGAATCAAATTTGAAACAATGGTTACATGAAACATATTAAACACTTTGTTTTCAAACGTAGAAGTGAACTACAGATTCTATTCCATTAAAAAATAAAAACTTTTATATAAAAACATATTATCATGGCTGTCTGACCCATAAGCTTCAAGAAAGGTATTTTACACATTTGTCTTCTCAACTTAAGAAAAATTGCACAGTAGATGCTAATGCAAAGAGAATTCACAGGAGAGTTGTGGTAGTCTAGTGGTTAAAGATGTTGGCTGTTAAAGGTCCCGGGTTCAATTCAGGAAATTAGATTTACTGAAGTCCCAGTTGAGCATTACCTCCAACACTCGAACTCGAACACTTAAAGCATCATTAGTGGCTCCAGAGGGATTTCACTTGTACTGAAAGTGGCCTCAGATGAGAAGTGCTTCCTAATGTATTTTTCTTCTGCTAAAGCATGTAGATTAGATCCTAGTTCCTATCCTGTTACAGTGCCTGTATATTGAGTCTGTGTAATAGAATATCTTAAAAGGACACATTACCCGCACCCTGTCCAAAACTAAATAGCTGCAAATCAATACTCTCTCTAAATCATATCTTTACAAACCCCTATAATTAAGACCACACAAGTTAACCATTTGAAAAACAAAGAAACAAATAAATAAAGGTTTGTGTGCAAGCTCACCTTTCTTACAAGATTTTCATTGAGAATGAGTGCTTTTAGTGATAAACTGCTTCCCTCGTGTTTAAAATGTAAAAGCAAAACAATATGAAGGAACAATGTCAATCTTATGACAACGTATTCAGTATTGAACTTTACATTTAAAAAAATGACATTAAAAATGCATCACAAAAAAGATGGCATTAGCTTGTCTAATAGCCTGATTCCTAATATGCTAGGTAATTAGTAAACATCCTCCCAACACATTTTTCAATATTTCTCAAAATATCTTCCCATTAAAGTCTTTGTCATCTGTGTGATGGAGTGCCAGAGTGACGCTGTGAACATCCTTGGGAAGAATTAACACCACTACATTTACATACTGTATATTCATTTAACAGACAGTTTTATCCAAAGTGACTTACAAATGAGGAACACCACAAGCAATTTAAGAGCTGATAATATTAGCAGTTCACAACATCAAGTAGATTAGTACACCTTATTAGTAGTAGAAACATGATGTGAATTTGCTGACCACAGAGCGACTTGTTGAGTCACTGCATGCATTTGTGATGACACAGAGAAAAAGTGCTGGGTGAGAAAGAGCAAAACCTTTGCAGATGAATGCTTGGACAGCAAGGCAGGGCCGTGAAGAACAGTGGCATTTACAAGGAGCTGACCAACCTCTTTGGGTATTATTCATGGACAAAGACACAGCACACTGTAAGCATGTTTGAAGGTGCCATCATCTGCTTCTTCAGCTGACCTAGACCACCACAATGAACCGATCCATTTGAGCTCAGTTAGGCTTCTCATGCTCAAAGGTATTGCTGACCATCTTGGATGTTGTTCTTCAGGCTCTCTTTTCTGAAGTTTGCCAAACTGTGTATCTTTCTAAATTGCAACGAGGAAACATTCATTATCTAAAATCAAGCATATTAAAAGTGAACTTACATTGTGCATGAGTTTGTTATAACAGACAGTTTATATATATATATATATAAAGTATATACGTATATATAACAGATAGTTTATACGACTATATATGACTGTATTAGTTATATTCTGTATCCCAGTATTTTACCAATATCTAAGGCCTGTGACTACATGAAATATTGGCCCAATTATTGATTTGCAACCGTGCCCATAATATAATTGTTAATATCAACAAGCAGATTTCCAAAATTAGACAAAAAATTAGTATTTTCCTGTTCCTCATTAAATTTGTGCCACTGGACATATACATTATATTTTGTGTATTATTTACATATAATATACCCATAATATAAATACATAAATTAATAATACTAGCCAATTAATATCATAATAGAAAAATGTTGAGGACCATTCAAAATTAAATCAAATATTTAAGTGGCCATCCCATTCAATGCTCTCTAATTAGAAGAATTAAAGGTCAAAAGAATGTTTACCACATTTACACCACAATTAAATAATTTCTCAAAATCAGACATGAAAACAAGTGGCATTTAGTGTTTCTACAGTTAGGTCCTTTGATGAGTAAGCTGTCTGCATCCTATAGCAGACATCATTTCTTAATGGTGTTCAGTTGGACTGGTCTTTATTTTGATGCAGATGCGATGAACCTGGCCTGCCATGGTGTGCATCTGAGGGGGCATTGAATGTCAAGCTTATATTGTCCTCTGAGAGTTTCCTTTTAAAGGGACAGTTCAGCCAACATTAAAAATTCTGTTTATCATTTTCTTGCCTTCAAGTTGCTCCAAAACCATAAAAACACAAACAATGCTGTAGCTGTGCTTGCTGGAGATCAGTGTCCTTGGGTCTCATACATCTCTGGCAGGTGAGGGAGATCGTCCAACCAGTGTTGCCTTTTTGGGAAATGCATGGGGAAATATATCACCACAGAAGTATTTGTGCTTGAATAGATCTTGTAAGTTTCTCCTCACAGTGTCAACAGCTTCTTTAGTGAATGTGCCTGCATTGTCAGTGGCGGTTTTCATTAATGCAAAGCTTGCACTCCTAGAGGAACTGACTGCTGCAAAAAGATGGACCACCATCCAGTATTCTTGCACACTTTCTCAATGTCTGCCATCAGGGTTGCTGACAAAAAACATTGGAGAACACCCAAGAGAGTGCTTGTAAGGCAGTGTTACTCATTGCACGGCTCGCCAAGCTTTACTTTGTGGCTCGCATGGCAGTAAATAATACGATGATATGATCATGCAGTCAATACAGATATTTCATAAAAACATTAAAAACAAGCAGGGCTATAACATAACCCATTAAAAAAACGCACACCATGTCTACACCGGACGCGAGTGGCGCGATCCGACAAAAGAGAGAACCCAGTGATGTTGTCTACACTGGATGCGGCGCGGCGCCATGCGACACGATCCCCATCAGTAAACTGATGCCTCGTTCTATTTATGACGAACTGTACTGACACTACGTTCAAATGACTTGCAACTGTCGCTTTGTCGCGTCAAGTGTAGACAGACTTTTAGCACAGCACAACAACTGTCGCGTCCGGTGTAGGCACGGTCTGACCGTGTCTGCTCTATTACAAATAATTTATATTAAAAAAAAAAACTAAACCAGCGGCATTACAAGATGGAATTATAGACTAGAAAAGATACGTCCATGACACTGACTCACTGTGGAGTTGCCAGTTTTAATCTTAACAGCTCTTAACACCGAATGTGCACTTGGATGGTTAGATACATGATGTGCTAGTATAAAAAAATTAAATAACTTAAGGTCTTTCCAGCATTAAGGTAATCCTGCTTTTTTTTTTAAAATCTTGTCTCAGTTACAAATTTTGACTGGTTGACACTGTATTGCATTGCATTGCATATGACAGATTGATAAAAAGACATGCTATTTATAACTGGATGTAACTTTTGATACTTCACGGTAAAAGTGGCTCTCCGATTGACTTTGCCCTATCAGTGCGGCTCCCATGAAAAAAATAGTGAAGACCACTGTTGTAAGGCCTTGATGACCCTTCCCATGACTTTAGATTGGCCTTTCTAGAATGTAATAGAAAGAAGGAAGGCTCTTACTTGAATCTTCTGACAAGGACGGGAGCTCTTTGCACTGCTAGCTGGCAGATATTAGGCATCAGGGTTTCCTTTCAAAAAGGCAAACGCAGAGTCCATTTTGAAACACAGAAGGATCAGAAACAATTTTCTTAAACCGTTTGTCTTCACAATACATTTCACATTGGTCTTCCACAAAGTCCTCATTGTATTGTTGCACTACCAGATCCTTAATTTTAGCTATGGAAATGTACTTTTACACATGGTACTTTTATACAGAGCAGGCTCCATAACTCTGCCATGGTTTCTTTTAGACCTTGTTTCTGTTCTCCTGTTTTGTTTCATGACCTAGTTTTCCTTAGTTCCTTTGATTAGTTCATTCAGTTCACTTGTCCTGTTAATTTGGTCTTTAGTCCCATGTTTACGTTAGTATAAGTACTCCCCGTACTGTTCAGTCTGTTGCCGGTTATTGATGTTGATTTGCTTGTGTTTGGATGTAC